CCATTCACGTACGTATCCCAGTCTGCGGCCTAAAATTGTTCACGCTCTTAAGCTAGCTAGTTGTACTTTCAAAATAGCATTGCTTTCTTATATGCCAAACTTCTAGGCCTGCGATGACACCCACTTAAAAGTCAAACAAGGTTTGCTTTAGCAAGACTGTCCGATCATCCATACCATTTTCGTGGTTTTCCTGCCACACTGAGGCGTTTAATATATTCGCCTCAAACGAACCTTTCTTTTACTGAAACCATTTTTGTTGAGCCTTGTACGTACGTACCTCGATCGTCTGTGCAACCGATCATCTTTCTAAGTGCCGGTGTCTTCGGATGAGGTAGACGTTCGGGTACGCTCATTTGGCCAGCTAGACTATGAATTTAGATAGCCTTAATACCAAGCCACCTTTTCCGAATTTGAAAGTATACGCAGGAGCCGATATGGAAGCGTTTTAATATCTATTGTACAGTTTTCCGATATGCCTGGAGTGCGATTGCAGCTCTAACGTGGGTTCGCGCAATCCGCGCCAGCACTATGCTTCTTTAGACTTGCCACAGGAGCCCCTTGATGGACGCATACTCAGAAGCATCTGTCCTTGCTTGGTTCAGACGACAGTCTGCTCGTTGCGTTCTCCAAATATCAGCCATCTCAGAACCTCCCAATTCTGTAGTTGGCACTATTAAAAGCTTCACATCCGACATGGTTCTTTGTTCCGTCCGACGCGAATGCACTGGATCCGGTTGGGATGGGATCTTTAGCTTGCAAGTGACTCTGCGCACAGCAACAAACACAGAAGCCGGACTTATTATGCACATGGCTTGACCTCAGTTATATCTCGGTGCGTTTAGCAGCCATGTACAAGTCGCGCAGGGACGTGAAGTGATGCAGCGACGCCACACTCAGGCATTTCACGAAGTTCTCACATAAGCACGGTTCCTTGAAAAGTTTTAACATGCTGGAGCATGTTGGGTTACTATTTTAACCCAACGCGCTCCAGCAGAAATCGTTTCTCTGGGTGAAAGCATACAGACATGGAACGCCTGTTCGGACCCATGCGTAGTATTTTTCTGCATAGAAGGGTGCTTTTCGTTCATCCCTTGCTTCCCACAGCGAATTTAAACCCGTACTGATCTAGAACTGGCAAAAGTTCATAAGCAGTCCCAAACAGACGCTAGTGCCTTCAAGGTCATGAAGGCTTAGGCCTCGAGTAGCAACAGCGATTTAGTAATATGTGTAATCGATTTACACTGCACGCTTAATGAACCCCTGAAAAATGATTCTTTACAACGCTCCTTGCTAATGTTAAATCAAGCCGACAGTTGCCACTCCCCCATGACGTGTTGTCCAACTTGAGCGTCGTAAAGAACTGTTCCTACTAGCTGAACAATAATCTCCATAATCGACGTTTTGAATTCTGAAAATGTACATGGGACTATTTATGGATCTCGGAAAATCTGCGTGAGTACAATCAAAGTGTTTCAAGATTCCAAACAAACCTAATTAGAGTATCAATTACCACACTGTAAACGAGTCCTGAATAACAAATTGGATGTGCTTCATAGAGTTTCTCTAATAAGGCATATCAAGGACCATTCAGTATCACGATACGGTCACTGGATATCCATTAATTGCACCTCTTCGGTTATAGAAACAAGAGAGATAACGAGTAGCGATTGTTGTTTTTTTCCCTTGGAAAACGTTCTCCATATCTTGTGTGGATTTGTATTTTATCTACAGAGTACCTGACTGGTGGCATCTTCAATGCAATCTCGTTCGCCTACAGGCTACAGATCCAAAGTAAGCACTTCGGCTTCTTCTGTCTTTCCTCTGTAACTGTTTCCTACGGCTATTTATCGCAATAATCTCAGAGTGAAGTGTGCTTTCCTCTAACACAAATTTTCAGGTAATGATTCAATTCTTAGTTGAAGCTGATTTATATCTACGTAGAAATACATTGAATTGTTCAAAAAAGAACGTCCACTTTTCTTTATTATTCCGCCTTTGTAATTTCTCTCTCGGCTGAGTACCGAATATATATAAACCGTAGAAAGCTCTTTCTTGTTGTTCTCATCGTTCCTTCTTGTTGGAGCCGCTCTGTAGTTTGGGTACACTTTTCTCATTTGGGTTGATTAAATTTAGAAGTTATTACAGAATGAATGGAAAATGATGACATCGAAGCATCTACATAGATAGAGTCATGTCACGTGTAACCCTATATTTATCGTCGATTCATAATTGTTTGACATATCAACTCGCGTTCGTTATTTCTTTGGCAAGGTTTTTTGTTTTTTCCCAACTATTTCGCTAGTTGCTTTCAAGTCGGTCTTTGACCCATCTTTCATATTTCAATAGGCTTGTGGCATATTATTTGAAGGGCAGAGGTAAGGGTTGTTAACGGCGCACAGTTCCTTGCCCATAGAAATGAACGATTAACAAAAGAGAGACAGCGATCAAAAACTGAAATTCTTTTCTAACTTTCATCACTAACATCGACTGTCCATACACTCGCATCATCAGCCTTCGTAATTCAAATGTGCGCTTAGCGTATATAAGTTTTGTTCACTGCATGGCTGCATTAGGAATATCTGAGGTATATGCGCAACGCTTGCTCCCTATACCCTATATTCTGCAGTTTACAGAAATAGCAATATAAGCTACCAGGCGTTTACAGTTCACATTACATAATGCCACTATGCAGCGACAACAGCAACAGCAACCGCAACTGCAACTGCTATACACGGGGACGCATGGTTGGGCGGTTAAGCTAAGCGGAGAACGTCGTAAGACCTGCCGAAGCTATAGTGGCGACAAAAATAAAGCCACATTGTTACAAAAAGATGGCCTGAAAGGGACAAACATACACGTCAAACCGCGAAAGCGGTTCCGAAAGCGGCAGAGGACGGAAATTTGTGCGCAAACGTTGACCCTTTGTCTTCGTAAATTGTCTACTCGAGATCTTCCTGTTTTAAGATCAACTTATCGAAATGTTTCGAATACATGCAACATATTAAAGTAAACCTTGCAAGCGTCATAGGGTTTAGTTCCAGTTTTCTGTAGCATAAAAGTCATTGCCCCATGAAACAGCTAGATAAAATTCGCTAACAAAAAAAGATTCGGTTTAATTTGCTTATAGACATCATACTGAAATAGCATTAGTAGTTCCTGCTTGCGTCTATGCTTTAATAGAACGACTTTTTTTTTTTTTTTTTTTCTATATTTTGCTTTGTATATTTAATCTTGTTATTCCCGAAACAATTTCAACACTAAATAAACCAAAATGGTAACGAAGTCGGATCCAGCGCCAACAAGGTTACACTGGTGCGTAGTAGTTGCGTTCCAAAATTGTTTCCGATTAATGCTATGATACCACTCAAAGACATTGGCCAACGCATTTTTCTACGTTCATACCAATTGCAACGAGTTTTCTAGGGTGTTTCGACAGGCGTCCTTTATCTGGTGCGACGCTTCTAGCGATAGACATAGCTGAATTTTTCTTCGTTGTCTACTTATCTGTTCTTGATCTACAATCAACAGTCGATCCTCGGCAATTAATTTCCAAACGGCTCGAAATTGCTTTGCCGTGCTAATTGCTGGGTTCAGGGCTTCAGGACGTAATTTCCACCTGGTTTAAATGGCTTATATTGTCCATAGGTAATAGAAGTCTCTAGTTTTCTTCACAAATGCCTCGAAATCTTACTATAGCCTAGTAGAGTAGGGTAACGAACCATTTGTTTGATTTATTCTAGCTTAATTATCTAGCATAATTCTAGGAACAATATTATGTTGGTCATTTAACTTCAGAAGTTAAGTGCGTACTTTATAGTTATCAATAAGGAAATAGTGACTCCATTATGAGCTTAAACAAATGGTCAAATTTTGCCGATTATATCGCAGCAAATCTCGCCGCCTAGGTTTCGAGTTCGGCCACATTGGATTTTAGTACTTCTTCTTGTAATGGCGTGGTTTTCCTGTTAAATATGAGGAATACATGATGGCCGGGCTTTAAACTCGCACTTTGACGTATTTTGTCTTGTGCCCTGTGAATGAGCCATGTGATAGAATACCTAAGAAATCCCTAATTTGTTGTCTCTCTTCAGAGCATCACCCTCTCCATCTCTTTATTGTAAAATGAGTCATTTATGCCCAAAAGTACTAACGGCACCAGGTTGCTCTCTCATTTCGCTTCTAGTGTTTTTTTTTTTTATTTATAGGTGGTGTACGTTCTTTACGCATCTAGAAATCGGACGTTGTAAATATTATTTTCGTCTCAGTTTGCTAGCTCTCTGACGGATCGTACGGTTCTTCCTGGCAACGTCCACGCCCCTTTCGTTATTTCTTTAGTTACAACGGACTATCACAATTAGCTCTTCCCCGTTGGCCCCTTAATCGGCTGACGTACTTTCTCGCCTGTTTTAATAACTTGTTGAGCTTTGGTCGGCCATGCGTCATCATTTACCTACTCCTCAGCTAAGTTTGTGGTTGTTTTGTGGCTTGGTTTAGGATTGAGATAGGATAGCTATCATTAGCTACGTTATCAATAGCTAGTATTGTCGAATCCTTTTCAGCCGAGGCCGTAAGCTGTCTACTTGAAAAGAGCCTATATCAGTCGAAATAATAGGGGGCATTCGAAGGGGATCATATGGTAAATGCAAACGAAACGTAAAAAATATGTTGCTCAGCGAGGGTTTTGTTTGCTATACTCGAACCCCAGTGTTGTTGTACCACGTATATGATTTAAATTTTTTTTTATGATTTAAATTTAGATTGTACTGTGAACCATGGACAAAATGAAAAGAAATATTCTGCGAACCAATGCAACTCACGTTCGTCATTATCGATCTGTTAATACTTTTTTAATAGCTCTTGTTTCAAAAAAATACTGTGCAACAATATCGACGTTCAAAGGTTCAAGTTCATGTTATTGCATACTCAAGTTCTGGAGTGCCATTTGCAACTAGGAAATTCTTAGAAAACTAGAAAATGTAAAATATTTTCATTTTTTACAGGAGCTCTTTGGAGTTATTCTTCGCAAGGTCTTAAGATGCTCGACTTACGGAACGATCACCCGCATCCCCGTGTATTATTAATCGTGTTTGCTTGTTTCTCTATATGTGGTCGCGGCGTGACGGGACCGTTCGGCGATGGCTCATCCCGTTTTAAGAGGAATAAGAGTAGCGCTATTGCCACTCCTCTCTCACTCAGTCCTCGGTAAAACCGCTTATCGCAACCTTCAGCTCGGACTATTTGAATTTAGTATTATTTGCCCTTTCCTGGCAACCTCAAGATACCATTGGATCTGTAACTTGTTTGCTATACAGCCTTACTCCCTCAGTGCACAGCGTACCGAAGCCAATGTTGGTTCACACTGTAGTTTAGGGCAACAATGAGTTTTTGTCTCCGACTATTGCCCGTTGTACGCGTCCAAGTAGATTCGCAATCGAGCACTGAGCAGCTGGGCGAGCAAGTGACAAAACAGTGCCAGCGATCTAGCAGTGTTCGTCGAAACATGTGTGTCTGAGGCTGAAAAAGGCCAAAGGTTGATATTTAATAGGCCATATATATATATAGTCGTTAACATACTACGTAGATCGCTGGGTACTGCCCATCTGTTTAGTGCTTTGTATTACTCGCTTGCACATAGATTATTTCCTGCCCGTTCTTACCCACCAAATTCTTTCACTTTGCAACCGCTAGGATGACGAGTGGTTCAGTCATTCACTTAATTAGTACCGCCGCTAAGACCAACTTTTACTAGTGATACTATTACTGAAGCATCTTTGTCTTAACCTCCTATAATCCACGAAGTCGTTGTGCAGAGATACTCAACGCTTGCTCACGCTTACTCGATCCGATGCCTATCTTTCCGCAGCATGTAATATATGTGCAATAGTTGCTCTCAATAAGCACAAAGTGCTTTTTATACAATGGGAAAAGGCGGTACTCAAATGAACGGTTTTTATCCGTTCGGTTTACGTTAGCATTTTTACTTGACGCAAATCACTGGAATTGTAATGGTCGATGGTCAGTTAATGATCGTAACTCGCTAGCTGAATGCAGTGCTTTTCAAGTGAAATGACGGAAGTGATGCTCATCTCTATAAATTTTGCTTATTTTTTGTGTTTTCTTGTGACAAAAATTCCCTATTCGTACTGCTAATTGCAGCATGACTTTAATAGCTTAATGTGCTATTACACGTTCAGCAGAATTTACTAGAAGATTTTTCATGAAGTTGATTCCAACGTTAACCTTTTAATATTTTTTCTGCTTCTGCTAGATTAAAAAAACATAAAGAATTTGACTTTGTACTAATTGTGTGCTCCTTAAATATCAAAATTTCTGTTCAGTTCATTAAAGTAATCCCTGCCAGGATCAGAGCAGGTGCGTCTTGGTTGCTTTTTTTCTTCCAGAATTCCAGAATGTTTGACGAACAACATTACGTAAACGTCTTAGTAATACTCTTTAGTAACAGATAAGCCATTATAACTTCATTATGCACAATTCCATAGTAGTCGAAAGACGGGCAGTTGAAAGAAGCTCGTTTTGAGACTTAGATCTCGCAGCGTGCCTTGCCCAGATACCCAGATTATTGTGCTTCGCCTTTGTGTCATAATCGTACGTGCACATCCTGTTGCCTATACAGACGCATTAGGGCAAATCCGGTTTTTCCAAATTATCCTTCAAGATAGTCCGTCATGATTCTTGTAAGGTGTTCAACTTTCCCGTGAGCTCCGTAAGACTGATTTGATAATCCTCCAGAGTAAGTTGTTTTTCTCTACGTTCTCTTCCGTATTCGATGTAATGCGTCATGGAAATTTGACGGTTGTGTTGAAGACCCTCTGCTTCATTGGCAAACTATAAGTATCACTTCTACTTTCGATATTAACCCTTAGCCTGGTCTTGAAAAGCCCTCTGCAGCGTAGGCAGTGCCTGTTAGCACTTAATTTCGTTCTCGACACAACACGTGATTCGCTCTTCGGGACCCTACTCTTATTCTGTGAAAAAACAAAATAAAGTTTAATGTAACTTATCCAAGTACATCTGTAAAGTACAAAGCGCATATTCGACTGCTTTGAAATTTGGTCTGCAAATAGTGGGCGAGCAGACAAGATAGCTCAGTGAGTAACGTATTTTCGTGCCAATTTCAGGGACACATTGTGGTCTACGTTAGGAGGGCATAGACACACTTTGTTTCGTGCTAGGTCCAGCCACTTGATGGAATGCCTAAGAGCGGTACCGGACGAAAAACTCGAAGGATAAGGGCAGACAAACGTGTCGCCGCAGTCCTGATCACGGATCGGTTTTTGGCCAATAAGAACCGGGCTTCTTATTGATAACTTTCTTTGGCTAATCGTACCATAATATTAATGTATTGATCTGACACGCATCTCTTTAGCTCCTTATTTTCTTTTACATTCGCTATAATATGAGCATGCACAGGTAATAAAGTTGAATTCCCCTGTAAAGGAATATGGTCGCACAATTTCGAGCTGCGATTTACTTTTGCCAATTTTTCATTTGTCCATAGCGATCATGCGTGTTCTTGGATATATTAAAGCGAGGGTGTTTGTATATATTTCACGCTAATGTCGCCGCTAAAATCACCTCAAAGGCAGAAAAAGTATCGCGGAAGGTGTAAGCTAACCGTTCACTTGCCTTCCGTAAGACCACTTCTTTTATGGGTTCTAGGCTGATAACCACACTTAAGGTACATGTAAGAAGGTTGATCGGGCCGTAGAAGAGGAAAAGAAAAAAGTAGTGGGGCAAACAGTGCCTACCCCTAAAGATAGACACATGTAATAGATTGCAGAAAAATCGGCCATAGTTCCTTATATATTTGCTATATCTTGGGATATCAATTGGGGTCAGTCGCCTAAATGTTCCCTAGGTTGTTTTACCAGTCGCGGTTATTCGTGCTAGCCATCATTCGACTTGCACAATGGTAAAGAGGCCTGGTTCGCTTCACAAGACGCCCGAGACAAGTGAAAAAGGGTAAAAGGCCGTAAGGGCACTACTTGTAAGTAACATAGAAGCTTCAATGGCATTTATCTTCTATTTGCAGTTTCCGTCGGTTTACACTAATAGATAGATCGAGATACAAGTCTTCAATAGTAGCAAATGATTGTTTATTTTGGCTGTACTTCATCGATTTCCGGTTAACTTTCTAGTTGAAACAGGAAGAGAAAATTACTTATGTGTCATATGCGATACCAGCAATGCCTCTTTTTTGGATCAGTCTAATAGTGGTATAGAAATAGCTTTTGCTGTGGGTTGTCATTAAAGTTTGCAAGTTACGTCAGGAATTTGAGCAAGAAGCTATTAAGCGAATTTCCGTAGACCTTTGGCTGATTACCATGAACTAATTTTCCATAGAAATGGCTTTTTGGCATTGACCTATAGGTAAACCAAGTACGTATTTGTAAAAGCGGATTATGTAAACATACTAAGGGAACAATATCTTTAGGTCAACTCTAGAGGTGTTTGACTTTGATTATTTTCAGAACTAATGTGTTTCTTCGCGGTTTCCTCTTCAAGCGTTTTTTGCTTTGAGATGCCTGTCCTAGTTTTACATGGATCGCTAATTTTGCCCTGTTATCCACAACGAGAGTGGACGCGAGAGTCCTATAGATAGGTTGAAATCAACTGAGTCGATTTTGTAAAAATATAGGCTAAGTTTGACAACTTACCAACCAATGGGAGCGCATGGTCATTTTGGACTTTTCTCTTCTCTTACGCTATGATTTTGAACGGTACCGGCATGTTTGCATTGCGACTTACATATAAAATAAACAATCATCTGCGAGTTGCTCGGACAAAAAGAGAAAAGGACAATAAAGCATCACAGAAAAAAGGAGACAGGCAGCTGAAGTGATGGACGAGTGTTGTCCGCACGAGAGATGCTAAGTTGAAAACTGTGCGATATTGTCTATGCAGAAGCTGCTTGGGTAACGCATAATACTGTTTGCTGAGTCTCGTCAGTGCATACCTCCCTTCCACTGTCTTTGGCAAATGCCGGTTCACGGAAGTTGCCCAAAAACCCTCGAACTGCGCGCAAAATTACCCTCGAATGCCTCTAGCGAACCTTGTGCTTCCTTCATCTTATTCTCACGCCGCGTAGCTCTGCAGTATATCGCCGTCTTCCCTTATAACGCAGCAACTGTTTACATTTCCCCTTTCTTCTTGCCCTTTCTCGCGTCATCTCTTCATTCTCTTTCGTATGTTGGGAGCTTTTTAGTCTTGCTGGTGCCTCCTAGCTCGATTTCACTCACCGGCGAAGTGTTCGGCACTTGTCGTGTCCTGGTCAATTAAACCTATCATGCATCCGCCATCCTATTTCTTTGTCGCAGGGAATATGTAGTAGTACCCTCGGGTCTGGCAATGCCTGTAAGTCTATGAGTCTTCTAGCGCCCCCTGATGCTGCTGCTGACCAGGCGGCTAGATAACGCTGAAATGTGCTGCATTGTGTACCATTCTGCTCTTCTGACTGCAAGCAAGTTGTAGTCTCTCACGAGAACGGGCCAATGATATGTGTCACAACTCTTGCGGTCACTGCCGCGTGCGGCTTATCTTAAACTCGAAAATTTTACGAGAGCTCGAATCACCTTGTCAAATCGCAGACAGGTTGCCGGCAAGGAACATATTCGGCCCTACCTATTCTCTAGGTATTTAACACAAATTCATACGCAGGCACTCTCTACTCTGCGTACATTTTGCAGATATTTTACGAACTGCCAGTAGTTCATACGTGGAGCAGACTAATTTCGACACGCAGCGCACGAGAAGCAACAAATACAGTCAGCTGTATCGGACGGCGTACATGGTCATCTTTGTCGAATTGCAGGTGATAGGTAAACCGGTAGGCGTTTATTTCAGGGTTATAAGGTATCTGGTATACGTATTAGTAGTAAAAATCGAAAAAAAATAAGATTTGTAGGAAATATCGCATGTTGTGGCTGAAAATTCAGCGAGATATAATGGATATACAGACCAACATATGCGTCTGATACGTAGATGGTAACAGGGTTATCTCCGACGGGTTCACGTCAAAGGTGCTGTAAACACAATTTTTACTTTAAACGATTACCGACTGTCCACGAACACCACCAACGTAAGGCAGAAAGCAGTTTTGATGGAGCTACTAAAAAGCAGATTACGAGCTACTGTGATGATTTGTTGAAGTTAGTTAACGCTCGAAAACTAGATCTACGGGCAGATGTAGATATGAAGTTTATTTCTCGTTGCCTAACATGTAGCATTGCATCACTACATATCATTTCTTCAGAAGACCAGCAAATTTATACGATGTCAAAAGCGCAAAGGATAAGAGTACCATCTTCGAAGCTACTATTAGAGGAGCACTTGTTGTTCTGTTTCGCAATGATGCGACGGAGAACGTGTAACGATGTACTTATATCGTAATCTACCATATCCGTACCTCGTATTAACCTGCGCTAGTTTGTAGTATACAGATACATATGTACATTCAACTACATGGTAATATATACGAAATGGACGATATTTCTGTGGATATTTCATACTATGTACAGCAGTACATGTCGTCGACGTCAAAGATACGTGCCCGATGAAATTGTAACGAGAAAAATTCGTTCACGGTGGTGCACGCGTTACAACAGTGACAACAACAATGGCCCGGTGTGTACAATTGTATATAACCGTAAGGTGCGTACTTTTGCTCGTATGTATACAGGCGCCTACGCGTTTATGCCAATGATTTATTGTCTGACTAAGACGCTGAACGCGATTTATTTCTGGCTGTCCTAAAGTAACCGAAGGGAGCCTAAAAAGTGAACAAGAATGACAGAGTAGGGCAAAAGAGCAAAAACTGTGAGGCTGAACGAGAACAAGAAGAATACAAGAAGCGTTTTCAGACGGCACCATCCGCTTCTCATAGCTTAATAGCTGCAATTCCGCTCTTCTGGGGTCGACTTAGTGTTTTTGCCTTGTTCTCCTCGTTGAAAGTTCCAGTATCAGCCATGAGAAACTGAGTCGGGTTGCTGGTGCGTGTTGTCCGAAGTCCTGCGCATTTCTACCGCTCACTCGCGATGCATCAAAAGGTTTGCAAAAGAGAAGCGGTCTTAGTAGCTCTGCGCTCGGTGAGGTGGACGAATTGCATAGCTTTTTTTTTGTTGTTTTTATTTCTGCGGCCACTTAGCATTTATAGTGTTGCCGAACTTATGTGTAAGTTCCAGCAACTACATTGGCGATGGCTACAAGGTTATCAGTGGTAGCTGCATTGCTGCTACTGTTGCTGTCGAAAGAGACAGACCGAAATAGAGGTAGCTTTAGAAAAACGGCACGCTGTGTCCCTGTTGAGAAAATCAAGGTCGATGGAGGGACAAAACTTGTCGAAACGGTATAAAGCGTCATGTTCCCCTACCTGTAAAGCACGATAACACATACATTCTGTAAAACGAAAAAAGAAGGGAAGGCTTAGCAAGCCTTCTCAGAGGAAAGAGAAAGAAAAACAACTTACCCCTAAATTGCTCCACTCTTTTCTATACGCGACAGCCTCCACCAAAAATCGGCAGGTCGTATACGTAAAGAGCAGGAGATCCTGGGAATAAGCCGATCCCTCTTTTTCGCTGGCTATACGCACCGCAGCAGTCGTGGAAATATATGCAGATGCTTAACAACGAGAACATCCCAGGTCGAACGACAAAGTGTTTGATATGCTGTATTATCTCTTATTATATTCTCCTTAATGTGTAATAGTTTAAACATGTACAAAACGTAGAAGTGATCAATGAGCCTAAAAGTGTGTAGAGTTTTATATGATAAAATTCCATGCTAAACTCTCTTTAAAACTGCTATGAAGTAGAATATATTTATGACAGATCGAATATTTATAGTATTTGATAACTCACTGAGCGCCGAATACGCCCTACAACTTCAGCACACTTCACGCTTCGAACTAATAAAACGCTGTCGCGACGTGTACGCGTAGTGGTACCTAGCTTCATAGAAGAGTTGATTTTTACATTAAAGCTTCCGTTTTGAGCTCAAATTCTACTTACTTTATCAAGTTTAATTTGTTGGAAAGAATCAGACCGTATAAGTTCCTGCTTATGCCATGCCTCGATATCGCAGTATCAATAATGGTAGGCGGCTTTTGCGTGACGCAGTTTAGCTTGACGCTTTTCTGCCATGTCGCTTGCACCATTTTTTATGGGCAGTGGCTAGATCTGTGTAGGCAGTTTCATGTCTCCCGTCGTATGAGTACAATCATTGCTTAGACAAGTACCAATGCCATGGTCAAAAAAGCGTTCCTATTTAAACCAGTATTGGAAAAAAAATATAGTTGCAGGGATTTTTTGAGGGTATGAAGTAACCGGTAACAGTATTTACAGGGCTATAGCGACGACCGCATTACAAGCAGCAGCAGTGTCCCACACAAGCCTGCGTGCCAGACGAAGGCTAAGCGGAGAAGAAAGCGAGAAGGCTGCAAGGCGTCTAGGTATCCATCTAGCATCGCAAAGCAATATCGGTCCAATTGAAAGTCTTTTCTTTGGCTCATTGCTACCCTTTTTACATGTTAGTAGGAAAATAGCAATAACATTCTCAGCAGTGGCAGCGGAAGAAGAAATCAAATAACGCGGTCTATTGTGGCGTGCAGACACGCGTTAGTGGCGAGCTCCAGGTCGTGAACGGCAAAGTATGAAAAGCTTGGTCCTACGTTGACGTCACGTTGTTCGCCTGATGACAGGAAGCCGGAGATCGCTATTAGAGCGTCAGCACTTCATGAACGGGTACAACGAGGACTGTCTAATGGCTAATATGCGGATATAGGGACAGGCGTGGATATAATAATTATTTTGAGGGAGCCGTCGATTTTATTAGAGGATTGGAAACGCGAAAATTTGAACTAGGTAAGATGTGGGACCAAATCTGCTCTATTCTTTTATTATTCCTTAGCAAGGCTAAAGTGGAGCAGCCATCTTCTGAGCTGACATTTCCTTTGCTCTCAGTCTTGCTGAATCCCTTTGGCTCCTCTGCCCTTATCAAAATTTCGACGCTGAAGGGTGAAAAGAGTTCAGGAAACGGCGCGACGAAAAAGACGTTGGTGAAGTGACTTTCGGCTGCCAGAGGCGGAAATTAGCGCATTGCCTGCGTCGTCGAACATAGGCGCCTTCAAGGCGTTCTGGCGAGCGCTCCGTCTTCACCAAACTGAGTGAAGATCATTTCTTGCTGGCTTGCAGCCGAATACATTTGGCCAAACCTCGGAAATTTTCACAAACACCAGGAGGTAGAGCCCAAACGCTACAGGCTTTAGAGCATCGGGCAGCAGCTGCGAATCCGACCCGAAGCGTAGTCCACAAGTTTTCGCTAACTTGGCCGCTCACTGTACACAATTCCGCTTTAATAACAATGCACATGACGACAGGAATAATTTGCCCTTCTCTTTTCCACGAGCCTCATTAAGCAACCGGAAAAACTAAAAGAAACAAGATGGTCTATTGGACTTTCCGAACACGGATTTATTATGGGAGCTACTATTTCAATGGTGCTACGTACGATGCCGCCGGTTGAGGAATGTTACATAGACAATAATACTTGCACTGGACAGTAATGAGCATTGGTGCTAACAAACGCGTAACCTTGAAAAAGTTGTAAATAAACGAGAAGATGAGAACTGTGACGCAGTTCTATGTGCATGAAACAATCTACAATGAGAATAGATGTTTAGGCGGTACTATAGTAAACTGGCAGAACTTGATAGAGCAAACGCATGGATAGACGCCATGGCGCCATTACTTCTATACATGAGCAATAGGTATACAACCCTTCTATAAAACCAAACAGACAGTGATTGTGCTTAATTAATCGTAGAGTACTATGACCTATACGGCATGTAAACAAGTACTGTTCATATGGACAATAGGCACGCAGAGTGAGAGATGGAACAAAATAGATAGAATGCGAAAGAGAACAGGTAAACGTAGACGCTATGCGAACGAAGAAACGGGACGGGGTCTCGATAGCCGGTCGTCAAATTATACTTGCAGCATAGCCTAGGACGAACTTATTACGAGCATATTGTTCGTTGAACTTTTCCGTTCTTAACAGAGAAACCAACGTTAGTCTGATCACATATGGCTGGTTTCCAATGCTCGATGGCGTTCAGCCAGCTATCTCGATAGGTGAAACAGCTCAGCTATAGTCACAATACCATTTGAAAACATATGAACATTTAGCCATATTCTGGGTTCGATGCTGATAAATATTATCTTCATTCTGATCTATTCATGTTGGTCTTCAGGATGATCTCGTCGGACTCCACCAATGATTTGGAGAAAGCAAGCCCCGCTGTTATTACATAGAGTTTATGAAGCTTACTCATACCCTCAGGCCACCGTCCGCGCTCCGACAACTACAACTCCAGCTGCGAATGTAAGTTTGGTAAACAATGAACTGACGTATATAATTTTTTATCCGCTCTTGCCCTATACTCGATAGCCTACACACTAGCAGTATTGAGGAACTGAATGTTCTTTAGCACTCCTTTTTGTGTAAATGGGTTTAGCTTCCGAATTCTATGATAAGAAAAAAAAAAAAAAAAAAAAGAAGAGCATGTATTCTTTTCTCTTCGAAAAATGGCTCATAGAGATGACGTTTAGGTATGCCTGCCAGACATGTTTAAGTTCATCTGGAAATTACACGTTTGTGTATTTACACGTGTTGAATCTACTTTGCTTTCGCGATGACATCGTGATATAGCTGCAACCACAAGTGCAGACACTTCATTTTAGTATGCTGTCAAAGATGAAGTAGATATCAAAGATGAGTGCTCTAGGCCCATTCGGCGAAAAGTTCAGGTAGAGGATTTGTCAAGTAAGTCGACGAAAAAAAAAGGGAAAATAAATACATACGGGTTTCTTTAGCAGATGAGGAAAGTTGCTTTGGCTGTCTCTCTCCGAGTTAAAAAGCTGATACTGGTTGGTGCACGCAATGTTGAAATACCATAGGGGTAATGTTTGTCTAGCATTACGGGTGCCATTAATGGTGGCCGACTCTTTACAGCTGATGCCTAGAACTACATCGGCATATCATTCAACAGTAATGAAATCCTTGTTTAGAACATGATACACTTTCTAAAAGCTAAATGTTCGTTATATATGTCCATGAGGTTGAAAATAGCCAGATTTGTTACTTCAAAATGATTTCAATTATCGTTTTTAAAAGGGCTTCTTCGAGCGGATGTCGCTAGTGATAGCCATGAGCAAAAAAAAAATAATGTAGTAACTGGAAAATAAGAATACGTACAAAACAAACCTACCATCAAAACAAAGCTAAAGTTAATCATCAGCGTAGTAAAGATGACGAATGTTTGATACCGGCCAATTTTTACAGAACATCAAAATATGCGGTGATTTTTTCCATTGTTAGTATTGCAAACTTGTACATGTTCTTTGTAAGCTATCCTTGTTAGAGGGGCAAAAACTTAGAGACTTAGAGATGCATTTACTAACGTCTGTACATTAGATAATATGTCAGGCTGTTGCCTTGAGTGGCAATTTTTACTGTGGAATAATTGGTTTTTTTGTTGTTTTAGGTTAAACATGACAATTTCATTTCTGATTAGCTGAAGGCCAAATTCAACACTTGTATTTGCGCTATCGCACAGTCAATTGTTCCGTTCCTTATGGTGACTAAGGGCAATACCACAATTGATTGCTTAGAGCTTCGTGCCTGCGGCCTGTGTTCTTGTGAACTATATTCAGCGCTGAGACAATCATAGTACGGAGTACGAGTGAGCTTGGATTGTCTTCGAAACGATTTCAACGATTATGGTGAAGTCGCCTTTGATCTTGATGTGCGCCATTAGATGGGTCTTATTACTTTTACGTCCCGACTTCACGAAGTTTTTCAGCCTGCAACTAATATGCGCATGAAATTAGCTGTCAAATTGAAGGTCGTTGATCAATAACTATGAGATCGTTTGATTTTTTCTTGATTGTAGTTCGGTAGTTACTACTATCTGAAGAAAACTGATATATGAGTGCATTCCATCCACCATACTATTTACGTGACGTTCTCAGATCTTGATCCGTCCGCTCAGTCCCACAGCTATTTAATTTGCAAAGATCCACCATATGCCACTCGCTTACCCGAAAGCAGCAGGCGACTTTCCTCGGAATTCAACTAAAAAATTGATAGAAACGTCATTGTTCCCAACAAGATTGGCGTTGCCGATATTAAACTGCGGTGAGATTGAGAACATGAGCAAGGCAATAAGACGCTGTTTAAAACAGTGAGATGCGGACGGCTGCCCGAGTCGAAAAGCCCAGCTTGTTTAGCCGCCAGTTTTTCAGCAGCTTCAGTAGGGGCGGTAGCCAAAGTCAGCAGGTGCGGATGTAAAGGGAAGCACGAGCTAATTCGAATAATGTCTGCTAAACAGATCACTTCAATATAGAGTAATCAACTAAGTTATGGCACGACACTAAGGCCGACTCCTAAGGGAAATACTTTCAGGGGCAGGCAGCGAAGCCAGATTGAACACTAAGATTGCAGACAAGTGACAGACAGTCAAGGTGTATACAAGGTATGTCAAGGATATCGGTTCCTGAAGACGGCAATGACGACGGGGAATATGACGTGCACAAGGCAGCGTGTTAAGATGGGTTAGCTAAGGATGCTTTGGATGTGTAGAAAATATTACCTTCAAGACAAAATGTAAACAGTGAACCCCAGGGAAGTCAGCATTCTAGAGCGCAATTTCATCTTCTACCTTACTGGTCTTGTTTGGAACTATTGTCTAGAAAAACAAAAAATAGAAACTAAACCGAAGCCAACCAATTTGCTCCACGAACGAGCCAGTATCCCGAAGACCGAAACTGGCCCCGCATTTGTCTCTTAGCCACGGTTACTTCAGCGTCTCTGTGATGACTATACATACACGACCGCCAAAATAACTTGCCCAACAAACGATTGGTAACACCTTGATCTGTGCGTCTGCATTAGTGTTTTAATGGCTCAGTGTCTGCAGAATAATAAATACACAAAGAGTCAGAGAGATATAGGAAACAAATAGACAGGCGGAAAGGGATAGAGAACTACACTATGGGATGAAACTCCATGCTATGGGCAACAGGCTACAAGGGTCGATGGTGGGTGAGCAGACAAGACAAGCCTCGCGTAGGCAACAATAAAGTAACGAAGGACAGAGCGAAGAAGAGAGAACGAAAAAGAGTGCGGGATAGAGAGGTAGAATCCATTGCCGCTCCGACAAGCATCATCACAAACGGCCACTTCTCATTCGTTCCCCTGGGGAACCACAGATAACCGCACAATAAATCAACGAGGACAGCAACTTGTTGAGCAAACGATGCTTATAGGCGTTCGCTGTCCGTGTGTGCTCGCCGCATCACCTACTTCCGCTAACCACTGCTCCCCAAGCCCATCCTGTATACCCCAGACCCCACTATCCTGGAACCACCTGGCAGAACGGCTATCACCACTCCAGCTACAGCCTTCTCTTGGAAAAGCGTACTACCTCACCGTCCATACGCTGTGTATTTCACCCAAACCCAAGCTCGCCACACCTCTGATATGGATGTGATGCGGAATCGAGGGGCCAACTAAGCTCTCTCAGCGGCGTCCTTTGGATTGAAAGGTAGTTGGGGTTTAGTGCGTCTGAGTTATTTTTTTTACCTGAGCTCGCAGCAGTGCTCGCGCGTCGCCTAACTAACCAGAGGGCGGAAGATCGTACGAAACGGATTTAACGACACTGCGCTGCAAACGGCGACTGGTCAGCGGAAAGTTGCGTCGCGAACGAAAAACTCGGCAAAATCTGATGTAAACACATGCGTTCGCACTGAGTTGCCTGCGGCGGCAGTGACAGAACGTATTTCGGCATATCCCAGAGATGGAGCACCGAGAGGGTGGAAAGATAATGTGAGAGGCGTAGACTTTCTGTCGAGATAGTCCAGAGAAACTCCATACGGTACAGCTTATGATCAGCTACATTTTATTTTCCTCTAGCTGCTTTCTTCAGACGTAACATTCTACAGTAGATTTGAAACTGTTTTATAAATTGTTTTTTTTTTTAAAGCAGGCACAATCATACGACCTGCTAATTTGAGCTGAACAAAATATGATTGTTATTATCACTATTATTATTGTACAGGATATAGTTAAGCAGCATGTGCATATCAATCAGCCAAGGAGACTAGCTAAGCAGTGTGTCACTTTTAATTTTTGCGAAATCCATACAAAGAATCGAGAAGAAACACGGGCCCGAGTCTAGGCTATGAAGCAAATCTTAAAGGGGTTATAGTCAGCTATGGCTTATTGAGATCTGCCCAAAGTGTACATCTCATCCCTCCCTTGACAACTATTCACCGTTAAACGTCACCTGTTTTTGAGAAAGAACTATGAAAGGGAGTTGCAACAGAACTTTTCGAAACGAGTTAGCAGACTTTGGCAACATCTGTTTGAGAATCTGCACTGTAGCCCTAGTCCGAAATTTAAAAGCCGTATAGCGCCAGCTGTAACGCATAATCCTTCTCAGTCGTTTCATTAAGATACGTATGTTTATAGATTTTCTGTAAGGATTTATTTTGCAAAAGGATTGCGTTTAGTAGAATGTTTGCGAACTAGGAGACTTTTTTTTTTTTATATCGGCAGGCCAAAACTAATAATGTAGCTTTGAAAAGAAGGTATGACGCAGAAATAAGTGCGCATGTATGTGTTTTTCTATTAAAATAAACAAGAGAAGTTAGTTATTGATGTTCGCCCAACGTTCGCACTTACGAAGGCAGACTCGCAGACGTACTCTTTCTCCGGACACCCCGCTGAGACAAAAACTATATATGGCCATTCGCCCATCTAGGCAAACAGTACTTATCGATAGCGTCCTTTTGCATTAAGGTCTGTTCTATGTCCTCTCAATCATATTGCGTTTGATAGACACGCAAGAGAATTTCTGAAAAGACACGGACCAGTTGAGGACGATTTGAGCGCAATAATTTTAGGCGATTGTCTTATTTATTTAATAGATTGGCACATCTTCATTAGTTAATACGTGACGCGCATAAGGCAATTTTTTACATTGACGCAACGATCGACGTGTGGCAGTGTTGGTGATGACAAAAGGCGTTTTGCTAGTGGCTTAATGGCGCTCTACGAACTTAGACGAAAGAATCAGAGACCACTGTAGACGTATAGAGAAGAGCATGGAAGAAAAACGGCCGCGAAGGAAACTCCGATCGTATGATTACGGCCATGTTCTCGCATTTACTAAGGGCAGAGCTAAGTCTTAAAAAAGCGTAAGCTCAATTTGTTACTGAAAAAAAGAGCCAGCTGCTCTATCGGGTTGACTGCTAGAGCTATACATTATAGTGATTGCTAATAAACATTTTCTGTGCGTAATTTTATTTATAGGGCTGGTA